CATGCCCGGCTAATTTTTGTATTTTTAGTAGAGACGGGGTTTCACAATGTTGGCCAAGCTGATCGTGAACTGCTGACCTCAAGTGATCTGCTCCCCTTGGCCTCCCAAAGTGCTGGGATTACAGGCATGAGCCACTGCACCTGGCCAGCATGACATATCTTTATTCATCCTTTTACTTTTAACCTCTTTGTGTCTTTATCCTTAACGTATATTTTTTGCAGATAGCATATCACATTAATTTTTATCCAATTTTACAATCTCTGTCTTAATTGGGTGGCTTAGACTTTTTACAGGTTGCTCTAGAGTTTCTAGCATACACTTTTGACTTATTACAGTTTCCCTTCAAGTGATGATGTACTGCTTGACATTTAGCATAAGAACCTTACAGTGGGGTATTTCCCTTGCTACCCTCCTAATCTTTGTATTTCCTTATTATACATTTTGCTTTTATGTATGTTGTAAGTCCCATACTATGTTGTTATGATATTTCATTAAATGGTCGATTATTTCTTAAGGAGATTTAAATAATAAGAAGAAGATCTTACATATTTACCCACGTAGTTGTCATTTCCAGTGCTCTTCCTCCCTTTATGTAAATCCATATTTCCATCTGATATTGTCCTTTTGCCTGAAGGACTTCCTTTAATATTTACTTAGTGCGGTTCTGGTGATGATAAATTCTTTCAACTTTCATATGCCTGGAAAAATCTCTATTTTGCCTTCATTTTTTCTAAATAGTTACTGGTTTTTTATGGCTTTGAGATACAATTCACATACCATAAAACTCACTCATTTAAATTGTACAATTCAATGGCTTTTAGTATATTCAGAGTTGCACAACCATCAGCACAATCAAATTTATGACACTTTCATTCCCAAAAAGAAAGCCCACATCCCTTAGCCATCACTCCCCAACATCCCCCCATTTCCTCCAATCCTAGGCAAACATTAATCTACTGTCTGTCTCTATAGATTTGCTTGTTCTGGGCATTTCATATAAATGTTATCATAAAATATGTGTTCCTTTATGACTGGCTCCTTTACTTCAGCATATTGTTTTCAAAGTCCATCCATGTTGCAGCATATATATTACTACTTCATTTCTATTTCCTGCTGAATAATATTCCATAGTAGGAATATAACACATTTTATTTATCCATTTATCAGCTGATGGACATTTGATTAATTTCTACCTTTTGGCTATTATAAATAATGCTGCTATGTGCTATGAACATTCATGTACATTTTTTTTCCTTTTTTCACCCTCCCCAAAGTTTTTTTTTTTTTTTTTTAGAGATGGGGTCTTGCTTTGTTGCCCAGGCTGGCCTCAAACTCCTGAGCTCAATTGATCCTCCACCTCGGCCTCCCAATAGCTGGGACTACAGAAGTATGCCACCACACTTGGTTTCATTATGGTTTTGATCATCATTTCCTGATGGCTAACGATGATTGTCTTTTCATGGGATTACTAGTCATTTGTACATATTATTTGGAGAACTCTTTTCCAATCCTTTGCTCATTTTTAAAATGAGTTGTTTCTTCATTAAGTTGTAAATGTTGTTTATATATTCAAATACATATATGTATTTCAGATCATATGTATAAATCTCATACTTATGATTAAAAAAATTTTCTCTCAGAAGTAGATTGTCTTTTCACTTTCTTGAGGGTATCCTTGGAAGCATGAAAGTTTTTTGTTTTTAATGTTGATGAATCCAGTTTACGTATTTTTTATTTTGTTGCTTGTACTTTTAGAATCATAACTCAGAATCCATTGCCTAATCCAAAGTCATGAAGATTGACACCTATTCTATTAAGAGTTATATGGTTTTAGTTCTTACATTTAGATCTTTGATCCATTTTGAGTTAATTTTTATATATGATATGAAGTAAGGGTTTAAATCCATTCTTTTGTGAGTGGATATCCAGTTTTTCCAGCACCATTTGTTGAAAAGACTATTATTAACCCCCACTGAATTGTCTTGCACCCTATAAAAAATGCATTTACTATAAATGTAAGAAGGTATGTCTGAACTCTCAATTGTATTCCATTCATCTATACGTCTATCTTTATGCCAGCACTACTTTGCCATGATTACTGCAGCTTCATAGTAAGTTTAGAAATTAGGAAGTGTGAGTCTCCTCTCCTAACTTTGTTCATCTTTTCCAAGATTGATTTGCCTATTTTGCCTTGTGTTTGAAAGATATTTTTGCTGGATATAGAATTATAGGTTTACTTTTTACAATACATTGTAGATGTTGTTCCACTCTTTTAAGGTGTGTTATTTCTGAAAAATGCCTGCTGAAATCCTTAGTTTTATTCTCTGTCTGTAATGTGTCTTTTTCTAGCTGCCTTTAAGACTTTATCACTGGTTCTGAGCAATGAGATTATGATGTGTCTTGGTTTATTACTTTGTCACTCAGGCTGGAATGCGCGGGCACAATCTTGGCTCCCTGCAGCCTTGACCTCCTGGGCTCAAGCAATTCTCCCACCTCCCAAGTAGCTGGGACTACAGATATGCACCATCATGCCCAGCTAATTTTGTTTTTTTTTGTGTGGAGATGAGGTCTCACTATGTTTCCCAGGCTGGTCTCAAACTCTTTGAATCAAGTGATCCTCCTGCCTCAGCCTCCCAAAATGCTGGGATTACAGGTGTGAGCCAGAGTGCCAGGCCTTTGTTGAACTTTTTATATGGGTGAATTGATCATTTTTATTAAATCTGGAAAAATTTTTGACTCTTATTTCTTCAGATATTTTTTCTGTTCCCTCTTCTCTCTTATCTCCTTCAGGGACTCAACATTATGCCACCTGCAGTTGTCGCACAGCTCACTGATGCTCTTTTCATTTAAAAATTTTTCTTTCTGCATTTCTTTTTTTCTTAGTTTCTATTGCTATATCTTCAAGTTCACCAATATTTTCTATTGTGTGTAATCTGCTGTTAATACCATCCAGTTTTTGTTTTGTTTTGTTTTTTATCTCAGACACTAGTTTTCATCTCTGGAAGTTCAGTTTGGGTCCTTTAAAAATATATATATTCTATGTTTCTACTTAACTTTTGAATCTATGTAACACATTTATAATAACTATGCTTACCTGGGATTTCTAACATCTGTTTCAATTTCAATTTCCTTCCTTCCTCCCTCCCTCCCTCTCTCCCTCTCTCTCTCACTTTCTTTCTCTCTTTCTCTCTTTCTTTCTTTCTCTTTTTTGAGACAGAATCTTGCTCTGTCGCCCAGACTGGAGTGCAATGGTACAATCTTGGCTCACTTCAACCTCCACTTCCTTGGTTCAAGCGATTCTCCTGCCTCAGCCTCCCGAGTAGCTGGGATTATAGGTGCCCATCACTGCCTCTTTTTTTTTGTATTTTAGTAGAGATGGGGTTTCACCATGTTGGCCAGGCTGGTCTCGAACTCCTGACCTCAAGTGATCCACCTGCCTCGGCCTCCCAAAGTGCTGGGATTACAGGTATGAGCCACCATGCCCAGCTTTCAGTTTCTTAATATTTCTCATTTTGAGCACATTTGCTGCTTCTTTGGAGGTTGGTAATTTTATTGGATGTGAAACATTATTCATTTCACCTGTTGGGTACTAGCTGTTTTCAGCATTGTTGAGCTTTGATCTAGGATATAATTATTTGGAAACAATTTGATTCTCTCAGCTCAGGCTTTTACAATTTATTAGGCAGGACTGGAGCAGTGCTTAATCTAGGGCTAGTTATTCCCCACTATCAGGGAAACACCTTTCTGTGTACTCTACCCAGTGCCACGTGAATAATGAGACTTTCAGTCTCAGTGGGAACAGACACTTTTCCTGGCCCTGTGTGAATACTGGGTACCTCTAATCCTTCAGGTGATTTTTTCTACAACCTCAAGTATTTTCCTTCCACACATGCCCTGATTAGTACTCAGTTGAATACGTGAAGATCTCTGGAGTTCTCTCTTCATACAGCTCTCTTTTTTCTAGGACTCTCCTCAGCACAATATAGTCACCTTGATCTTTTTGGACTCTTAGCTCCATCATCTCAACTCGGAGTCTGCCAAACTCAGCCTGGGGTCCCCAACCTTGCACAAAAGCCTGGAAATTCTCTCCAGGCAGTAATCTAAGGCAATCATTGGCTCACCTAGTCTATTTCCCATCTCTCAGGGTTCATGGTTCCTTTGATGACTGATAGCAATGTGTTCATAATTTTTTTTTTTTTTTTTTTTTTTTGAGACGGAGTCTCACTCTGTTGCCCAGGCTGGAGTGCAGTGGCGTGATCTCGGCTCACTACGAGCTCCGCCTCCCAGGTTCATACCATTCTCCTGCCTCAGCCTCCTGAGTAGCTGGGACTACAGGTGCCCACCACCACGACGCCCGGCTAATTTTTTTGTATTTTTAGTAGAGACGGGGTTTCACCATGTTGGCCAGGATGGTCTCGATCTCCTGACCTCCTGATCCACCCACCTCGGCCTCCCAAAGTGCTGGGATTACAGGCATGAGCCACCGCGCCCAGCTGTCTTCATAAATTTTAATGCTTCATATATTTTGTCCATTTTTTGTTGTTTTAAGTAGAAGGAAATAAATCCAGTGTCTGTTACTCCATCTTGGCCAGAAGTCTCAAGACAATTTTAAAACATCAATTTGTCTACAAGTTACCCAAAGATTTGCTGATCTTTACAGGCAAAACTCTTCTTCCTCCCCATATGCTAGCTCATTTCAAAATATTTCTGAGAAACCGGTCCCTTATATCTGTGTAGCACATTAGAGCTAACACCAGAATTTAATATATTGAGATAACACTGTTTTCTTTGGGAAAAAATGTGATTTGTGTCATACTGATAATAAATTCATTTTTATGTGAAAAAGGGTACCTGGCCAAAAAAAAAAAAAAAAAAAAACCCATAGAAAAATTTAGGCTCAAGCTTTTTTTTCTGGATAGATCTAAATACAAATCCCTATATCTAACAACAACAGTCTCACCTAGGGTTTTAAAATAAGCATTTGTTTTGAGTTTACTCACTGTGGTGGGCACTGGTACTGCTCGTCTCTACCAGGTTGATATCATACTGGACTGAACTGGCTCTCTGAAAGTGGCCCTTCCTGACACTAGAGAGGAGAGAAACATAAAAATGGAAAATGAGTAATAGGAAAAGCATGTCAGAAAACCTAGAAAGAAGGTTGTTTTTTTTAATTTCCCTTCTTCCCCCTTTTTACAACACATCATGGCATTCAAATGAAAGTATAAACTTGACTATTTGATGGTTCATTTTCTTTCCACAACTACCTGAAATTGTCAGTGGTGCTTTAAAACTGTTCCCACTATTTAACACATCCATTAGTGCATGTAGGTCATCATTCAGATGCTGATGATGCCGCCTGGTCTTTTTCCTTTAAGACAACAGCAAAGCTGCTGTATCTTAGTGCAATTTTTGTGCCCTTTTTAAAGAGGTTAGCTTTCATTATCAGTTGGGACCCTTATGTGACATGGAGTAGCTTTAGTCAATTATTCTAGTAATGGCATTTTAAAAAGTAATTTTGAACATTTTTGAGGTAACAGTACATCAGGTCTTTCAGTCATTGGATCAATTAATATAGGTTGTAATTTATGTAATCATGATAGATTTTGGAATGTACAGTTGATTTCATTTTTTTCAATATGTCTATATGCAGTTTTAGCTTACATTAATGAAAATGAATTCAAAACCGCTTTTACCATTGCAAAATGATGTGTATTTTCTAAAAGCAAACTTGCTCCTATTCCTGAGACACCATTGATTCTAGCCCAGATTTTAGCATTAGTGGGGTATCATTTTGGACCTCATTCAATGATGGCACTAATTAGTTACTAAAGTTCAAAAGGCCCTCAGTTTAAAGCAATTTCAACCACTAATGGACCAAAAACTATTACAGAAAACAATTTCATTCTTGAAAGCGCATTTCCAAGTTCACATGGTCACTACAGAACAGCCTAGATCTTATGTAATGCTTTCTATTTATCCTGTTTTGTAGCTTTCTTTTTTTAAATTTATTTTTAACTAACTGGTTATTTTTAATTCCATTTTTGTCCTTCTGCTAATTTGGAAATTATACACTTTGATTTTCTATTATGTGTTACCCTAGACATTTTAATATTCATCTTAAAATATCAAGATCAAAATTAACTTATATATTTATCCTCCCCCCCATACAAAGACCTTAGTACACTTCAATTACAATACTTTCAACTTATTTGCTATCATGTGTTTTAATTCCTTTTAAAAAAATACATAGGATAATATTATTGTTATAATTTATACAATATTTGTTTTGATATTCACATATTAATAGCTTTCTCTGTTCTTTCTTGCGTTTCACACATGCCATATAGGATCAACTTCCTTTTCCCTGACATATATCCTTCAGGCAGAAGGTTTACTGAGGGATAACTCTCTCAAAGTTTGATTAAAAGTTATCTTCATCTTACCCTCATTCCCTGAGAGATGTTTTCACTGCCACAGAAATTTGGGGTTAACTGCTTTCTCTCAGCATATTGAAAATATCACTGCTCTGTCTTCTAGTTTTGCTTCTTTCCAACTGAGAAGTCAGCTGTTGGTTTAATTGTTGCATCTTTGATGATAATCTGCCATTCTTTTCTGCTTTTGTGATGTCACCTTTAGAACTGGTGTTCTACAATTCCACTATATTGCACCCATATGTAAATTTATTTTTATTTATCCTGTTTTAGATTTGTTGGGCTTCTAACATCTGTGGGTAACTTTCATCAGTTCTGAAAAGGTCTCTGCCATTACTTTTTCAAACACTGCCTCTGCCCCAGTCTCTCTTTTCTTCTGGAATTCCAATTAAACATAAGGTAGGCACACACTCTGGTCACCACGCTTCTTGACTTCTCTTCAATATTTTCCATTTCTTTTTCTCTTAGGATTACCCTCTGGGTAATTTTTTCCTATCTATTTTCCAATTCATTAATAATTTTATTGTGTTTAATCTGCTGTTTAAAGACATATACTAAATTTTAAAAATTTATTGAACTAAGATATGTACTGAATTTTTAAAAATTATATTTCATTCATTGGAGATCTGTTTTGATCTTTGCCAAATTTGCTTATTTCTAAGCCCTCACTTATTTTATTTTATTTTCCTTTTTTATTTTTTTTGAGATAGAGTCTTGCTCTCTCGCCCAGACTGGAGTGCAGCTCACTGCAAGCTCCACCTCCTGGGTTCACGCCATTCTACTGCCTCAGCCTCCGGAGCAGCTGGGACTACAGGCGCCCGCCACCACACTCGGCTAATTTTTTTGTTTTAGTAGAGACGGTGTTTTACCGTGTTAGCCAGGATGGTCTCAATTTCCTGACCTCGCGATCCACCCACCTCGGCTTCCTAAAGTGCTGGGATTACAGACGTGAGCCACCGTGCTTGGCCACCTCTCACTTATTTTTTGATACATATTAAACATACTTATTTTATAGCATGTGTCTGATTCTTCCAATAAATACAGATTTCTGAATATCTTACCCTACTACCTATTGTTTCTGCTAGTTTTAATAAATTGTGCCTCTTTTATTCTACTTTTGGTAATCTTTTCATACTGTGAGACGCTTTTTAAGGTAAAGGATAAAAGTAGGCTCTTCAAGAATTGATTTGTATTTGTTTCTGCCAACCATCTGATGACATTACCAGCCTAGACTATTTTATATTCTTAGCTTTTTACCCCCAGACATTCAGTTAGTGTGAATTCAGGATGGAGACCCACATAATGTTTGTGATTGGAGGTTTCTTTTCTCTTGTATTCAACACCACCTCTTGTTCTTATATATATAGTCTTTTGCTTCTATTATACCTATACTTTCACTCAAAAGGTATTATTTAGCCTGCTACAGGGTACTTCAGACTAGAAATATTTCTAAGTTCTGGCTCAAGTCTGCAGAGCAGCTATGGCTTAGAAGGTCTCCTTTCTGAAACTTTGCTGCTCTGGGGCATTGAACACCTATGGGGTACAATATACTATGCCCTTCACAAACTCAATGGGCTGGCAAAGGAATTTCATTTTGGGGCAACTACAACAATATTAAAGTTCCATTAATTTTTTTATTTATTTATTTTGTTAAGAGACAGGATCTTGCTCTCACACCCAGGCAGGAGTGCAGTAGTGCAATCATGGCTTACTGCAGCCTCTCATTCCTGGGCTCAAGTGATCTTCCCATCTCAGCCTCCCAAGCAGCTAGGACTACATGCATGTGTTACCACACCTGGATAATTAAAAAAAAATTTGTTTTGTACACACGGGGTCTCACTATGTTGTCCAGGCTGGTGTTAAACTCCTGGTCTCAAGTAGTCCTCCCACCTTGGCAGGATTACAGGCATGAGCCACGGCACCTGGCCCAAATCCTATGGATTTAATATCACACAAATCACTCTTCACAATTCCCAGTGGAATAGTAGATATTCTTATAAATCTTTTGGTCACTATGTTAGATATGTATTTCTGTCTCTTAACCTTATGGTCATATGGTTGAATTGCATTTCCTGACACTTGGATATATTATACGTCTCTTATTTTACCTATATGTAAATAATATAAATATATAAACATACAAATAAATATTATCTATTTAATCTATCCATATAAAATAAGAGACGGGGGTCTTGTTCTCTTTTCCAGGTTGGAGTGCAATGGCATAATCACAGCTCACTGCATCTCAAACTCCTGGGCTTGGGGGATCCTCCTGCTTCCATTTCCTGAGTAGCTGGGAATACAGATGTGTACCACCATGCCCTGCTAATATTTTTTATTTTTCATTTTGTAGAGACAGGGTCTTGCAATATTGCCCAGGCTGGTCTCAAACTCCTGGGCTCAAGCAATCCTCTCATTTGGGAATACAGGCATGAGCTACTATGTCCAGCCACCTCTTATAATTGAGGAGGACCATGAAACTCCTTCTGGCTAGTGAGTTATGTCAGTAGTGATGTGTGTCACTTCTGGGACAGATCATTTCAATTTAAGTGTGAGAACTTCCAGAGCTTTCTTTTCCCTCTGTTATGACAACCAGCAGCACTCAAGATGGTGTTTGCTCCAACAGTTTGAGTCCTTAAGTGACTACCATTAGCAAAGCCCTGCTTGCCAATCCATACTAATTACCTATAATAAGTGAGAAATAATCTTCTGTTTATTAAGCCACTAAACTATTAGGGCTGGTAGTTACTGCATCCAAACCTAGACTATCCTGACATATTGATAATGAATTAAACAGAATTCATTATCCAATCAATAACAGATGGAAACTATATCTCCAAACTGGCACCAGAGTGATTAATGAGGGAAGTAGGTATTGGTCTTCCCCTTACCATATTTAACTGACAAAATGTTTAGAGGGATAGAATAGATCATTATTCAGCTTTCCAAACATAGACACATTTAAAGTCAAGCATAAACCTAATTCCAAAGATGGGTGTTCTGGTTATCTACTTATGCATAACATACCACCCCAAACTTGGGGGATAAAAAAACTTTGTCTCATGATTCTGTGAGTTGACAGCTGGGCATCTTTTGCTTGGGCTCTCTGTGTAGTTGCAGTAAACTGGCAGCTAAGTCAGGAGTCAATTAAGGGTTCAAATGAGCTGAATGTCTGGGATGGCTCATTAAAATGGTAGGCAGTTGAGGCTGACTGTTGGCTGGAAGTTCAGCTGGGGCTGGTTCTTCCTACTGTTTAAGCTTCTTACAACATGGCGGCTGATTCTATGAGGCAGCATCCCAAGTATTCTATGATCAAGGCAGTCATAGTGCCTGCCTAGATTCAAGGAATCTATAGCAATAGACTCTACCTCTTGAAGGATGAGTGGCAAAGTCACACTACAGAATAGTATGTGGGAATGAGAGATATCCTATGGCCATCCCTCGGAAATGCAATCTGATACAATGGGCTTATATTTAAACTTTTGTATCTGAAGTAGTCAGATGCTAAAATTATGAGAAATAAAATCTACCAGATTGCTTAAATGATATGTTTTGGAATAAATTATTTAATACCACATATTTTTAAAAAGCTGATTTCCTCCAATTTTTAATTATTCCTTGATGTAAAGTAGTTAAGAAATCAGGATCTAACAAGATACTATGTTACCTACGTGTTACCTTTCTTAGCATACAAACTTCTCAAGCTCACTTGTCTCTCTTTTATGATTACCTTCAGCTCCATTTTCACAAGTATCTATGATAGAATTCAGTATGAGTTTAATAAAATTAATGATGACAGTTATGCCAGATAACTCCTGGACTTACTAAATTCTATGTTTACTTACTTTTACAAAATTTCAAAAACAATTGAAAATCAAAACAAATGAATGAAAGTAATCTTCAGTGCATATAATTGCTTCATGCAAGTAGTTTTTTCTTTTGTCTCTCTTGTAAATTACCAGTTTCCCCAAATTAATTGCCTTTTTGTCTGTCTCTCCAAATTGATTTAAATATCTCTGAAGTTAGGAAACATGTCTATTTTGTTCACTATTGTATTCTTTATGCCTAGCACATAGTGGGCACTAAGTAGCTGACCCTGCATATTAACCATATGTCTTAAGCTTACATGTACAGTATTGCATATGTTGTTCCTTTTCTTTCACATACAAAATTTACTTTAAATACACCTAACCCAAATATTCAGGTACTTCTGGCATATTTGCTATAGTGAGTATGGGTCTACCTTAATAGTTTAGATAAGTCAAGGTAAATATTGACACAGTAACAAAGAATAAATTGAGACTGCTTATTAAGATCCTTTCAAAAATGACATTAATAACAAAAACTGTATTAAAGAGATAACTAAACATAATGCAGTATCTGGAAAAATATCGAGAACTAAGGGCATATTAATTATTTAGTGGAATAACTACTTTATGCATTAGTTTTCTCAAAAGCATGTTTCTATTTTGCTTACCTGCAAAGGAAGTAGAAGGCTCCAATGATAAGTGTTATTAGGACTGCCAATGCCATGAAAGCTTCAAACAGGTTATTTTTAGTTTGGATGCTGGAGCTTGGGAGAAAAACCTCTTCACAACGAGCTCCTGTATAGTTTTCAATACACCTACAGAATACAATTTTAGATAAAGAATTGTATTCTGTGTTTCATTAGCTAGTTTGGAAGAAAAACGGTTTCCAGATGACGTGAAGAAAAAAGACTATTTTTCAGATTGTGAACATGGAATAGACAGGTTTTCCTATAATGCTCACAGATCTACAGTTACAACAAAACAAATGCAAATTTGTTATAATAAAACAAATTTTTACTATCTTCTTTTTCCAGTTTTCCAATTGCTTAGGAACTCCAGAGAATTACAGAGTATGCAGTGTTTTTATCTTCTAGATTTTCAATCATATAAATGTCCATACTTTATCAAAAATTTACTTTTTGTTGTATCTGGTATAATGATCTAAATGCATTTTTCCTTAAAACTGCTAACTGATTATTCCAACCCCATTTATTAAATAATCAATCTGTGACCCACTGTTTAACAGTGCCTCCTTTAACATATGTCAGATTTATATAAATAACAGCATTTATTTCTATTCTTCAATGATCTACACCATCTAATCTGAGGCCTTTGCCACACTGTTTCAATACTATTACTTTATAATATATTTGAATATCTGGTAGTTCTACTCCTTATTACTTTTTTTTATAGAATTTTAAAAATATTCTCCACTGCCTACCAAATATTTTATAGCCAATTACCTGTAGCTCTCTAAAACTATATAACAAAGAACCATAATATTTGGTATTACCAATCATTCCTTTTTCCTTGTTAATATGTTCAAAGAATTATAAAACAGAGATTGATATAAATTAACAAGAATGACACTGTTTGGCACCAGATCAATTTCAACATAGTAGCATTTAAAATAAAAAACACTTTAATATTAACGAATATTTATAAAGCAACCCAAAAAGTTATGAAGTCAAGTTGGACAACACTATACTCAGCAATAATTCTGTGTAAAAAAGTGTATGTGTGTATAAAACCAGTTTGTTTTAACCAGATTTTGTCAAGAATAGAAAGGTTGATTCTACTAAATTAATTCTCTTCCTTATTCCTTTCCAGTTTAGGTAGGTATTTAGAAATTTTATCTCTGTTTCTTCCACCTTAGACTAATAAGGATACAGGCCTAGAAAATCAACATGTGAATTAACTACTAGCTTTGACAACTAATGTGATAGTCTAATAAAGCAGTATATGAATAAATAAGAGAAAAGAATACCAAGATATAGCACAAAGGATCAATTTGAGTTAGATGAGCATATTAAAGATGTTTCATGAACTTCAAGTCCTACTCAATGTGAGGCAGTGATGTGATTGGTGATAGCTTCCAGGGGAGGTATCAGTTAAGCAAAGCAGCAGTCTAGATTCTCTTAAACTACCATAAAGATAAGATTAAGGGGACATAGGGAAAGTAAGGATAGCATATCAGTGGCAAACTTAAATGAAAGTAAAAATATTTTGGAGGGCCAGGCACAGTGACTCACACCTCTACTCCCAGCACTTTGGGAAGCTGAGGAAAGAGGATCGCTTGGGGCCAGGAGTTCAAGATCCATCTGGGCAATACAGCGAGATCCTATCTTTACAAAAAGTTAAAAAATTAGGCCGGGCATGGTGGCTCACAATTGTAATCCCAGCACTTTGGGAGGCCAAGGTGAGCAGATCACAATGACAAGATTGAAACTATCCTGGCACATGGTGAAACCCCATCTTTACTAAAAATACAAAGATTATCTGGGTATGAAGGTGCACGCCTGTAGTCACAGCTACTCGGGAGGCTGAGGCAGGAGAATTGCTTGAACCTGGGAGGCAGAGGTTGCAGTGAACCGAGATCGTGCCACTGCACATCCAGCCTGGTGACAGAGCAAGACTCCATCTCAAAAAAAATAAAAAAAATTAGCCAAGCATGGTGGTACCCGTAGTCCCAGCTACTCTGCAGGCTGAGGTGGGAAGATTGCTTAAGCCTAGGAGTCTGAGGTTGCAGTGAGCTATGATCATGCCACTGCAGTCCAGCCTAGGTGACAGAGCAAGACCCTGTCTCATAAAATATATATATATATACTTTAAAAATTATATAAATATATATTTAAATATATTATATATAAATATATATTTAAATATGTTATATAAATATATATTTAAATATTAAGTAAATATTTAAATATATTATACATAAATATATATTTAATATTTAATTTAAATATTAAATAAATATTTAAAATTTAATTTAAATATTAAATAAATATTTAAACATCTGGGCAATACAGCGATCCATTCTTTACAAAAGTTAAAATTAGTCAGCATGGGCTCATAATTGTAATCCCAAAGAACTCATGGAACAAGAGGCTGTGCTAGTTGATAAAAGATCAAATCATCCCAAATAGTATGGTGAAACTCACAAATCTTAGCACAAAAAGGCAAAAGGAATGATCAGCAAAAATAACAACAAACTGATAAGAAGGAAGCATCACCGCAAATGGAAGTGTAATAACAAAATGCTTAGAGAGCAACCAAAGCGCTGTCAAAATAATAGAAAATCAAAAAGAGTAAATGGCATAAAGGCCTCACAAGAATCAAACACCGGGAAACAGGAAGATTTAAAAGTTGGTGCCAGCAAAGAAAGGACGCATCACAAATCAAAGAAAAACTTTAATGGGTATAATAAATAAATGCACTGTATATAAAAGAATGCCCAAAAACAAGAACATAAAAAGATGTTCAAAAATCACATGTAAAATACAAAATGGGAACCAAAACAAGTAAAATAAAAAAGTGAATGCCAATGGCAGCCAATATTAGAAATTAAGAATACATTCATCGAGAACCCAATTAAAACAAAACACCAATTAAAATGGAACAGAAATGCCAAACAAAACCTTCGACTTCATATTGCATGCAAAATTAAAAATGGCTGAAATCACAATGGGGAATTTCCTCGCTTGGGTGTAATAAGAATGTTGTTTGAACACCCTTCTAAAAAAATCAATAAGAACTGAAAGTAAGAACTTTAAATTTTTAAAGTAAGCCCAGTTTGTTACAAACAAAATTTAAAGGGCTTATGGGAACTGGTAATAATGTTCTTAATATTATGTAAAGTTGGGTGGATGGGGAGAGCTTAGAACTGCCTAACCATCTCTGCAAAAGGAAATGAGGCTATTATGTAAAATAGATTTTGGGTGTTCCTGAACCAAACTGTGAAAGAAACTACTTTGGAAGATTATCAATGGTAACACACCCATGGAACTAAATAAATATTTAAAATTTAATTTAAATATTAAATAAATATTTAAATATATTACATATAAATATATTTAATATTTAATTTAAATATACATTTAAATATATTTATATATAAATATATATAAATAATATACATAGTGGAAATTACAATTTATAAATTTTAAATATAAATTACCAATTTTTCCGTAGTTTAAGTCAGTTAAGCTGAGGAGAAAAAAGATTAGATGAAAATAATTTGTTTCTTTCTCTTCCAGCTCCAATTCCTGCTTCCCAAAAGGGAAATGGAACACACACACACACACACACACACACACACACACACCAGTAGAAAGTCCATATAGAGACCACCATCACAATCTATCCATGTGCCATTACAAAATAAACACAGAAGGAAAGGGGCAGCATTCCACACAGTAAAAGAAACTGGGTGCTAAACGGTTTTCAAAAGTATCTTGAAAATAACAAAAATAAAATAAAACCCTTCTATAATTCCTCTATTTTTAAAAATAAAATTAAGTAGGCAACAATTATTTGTCACTGCTAAATGTTTTTTAAGGAAAAAATTTAGCCATGAGAGCAATTCCTGTCACGCTTTTAAAATAACTCTCAAGTTTTTAAATAATGTTAAAGATGGGGTTCAGTTTCCATTCTCGAAAAAATAACCAGAACCATAGATAAGTAATCCTGAAATGAGATAGTATAATTATTTTTGATAAGGAAGATCTCTTTTAAAAGCTATAAACTCATAACTCATTACTTCAGGCTGTTCAAGTAAGATTGAAATTCAGGCCGGATACAGTGGCTCATGCCTATAATCCCAGCACTTTGGGAGGCTGAGGCAGGAGGATGGCTTGAGCCCAGGAGTTTGAGACCAGCCTGGGCAACATGGTAGAGACCCCATCTCTACAAAAAGTAACAAAAATTAGCTGGCTGGTGGCGCACGCCTGTAGTCCCAGCTACTCAAGAGGCTGAGGTGGGAGAATCACTTGAGGTGAAGGCTGTAGTGAGCCATGATTGCACCACAGCACTCCAGCTGGAACAACAGAGTGAGATGCTATTTCAAATAAAAATAAAAGAAAGAAAGAAAAAAGAGGCCGGGCGCAGTGCCTCATGCCTGTAATCCCAGCACTTTGGGAGGCCAAGGCGGGCGGATCATGAGGTCAGGAGATCAAGACCATCCCAGCTAACACGGTGAAACCCCGTCTTTACTAAAAATACAAAAAAATTAGCCAGGCATGGTGGCAGGTACCTGTAGTCCCAGCTACTTGCAGGCTGAGGCCAGGAGAATGGCGTGAACCTGGGAGGCAGAGCTTGCAGTGAGCCGAGATTGCGCCACTGCACTCCAGCCTGGGCGACAGGGCGAGACTCTATCTCAAAAAAAAAAAAAAGTAATTCAAAGAAGAAAAGATAAGCCAGCTTATATGACTAACCATAAATGTTTTAACTGGACAATAAATACTTTGAGTTGGAAGGAGTCAAGAGAGTGGTGTAAATACAAGTTTGTAATCAGATCAGGGTTTATGCAAATAGAAAAAGGCATACAAAGTAAACCAAGCAACACTAGGTTGTTCTATTGTCTTACAGCTGGGATAAAGCAATCACGTGCTCTTGTGGGAAAGTAGAAACCTGATGGTAATTTTAAGCAAATCAAAGGATAAACAATCTTATCACTGTTAGGTCAAACCAGAACCTAGGGAAAGGCAAAGACAAATTCAAATATTACATTACTATCCAGGAACTGGATTGGCTAATCTAAAAATGAATTTTAAAATTTCAGATATTTACCAAACAAAAAAGTAAATACTGCCTA